ATGAGCAGCAGTGAAGAGGTTTCGTGGATTCTGTGGTTCTGCGGACTGCGTGGAAATGAGTTCTTTTGTGAAGTCGATGAGGAGTACATACAGGATCGCTTCAATCTGACGGGCCTTAGCGAGCAGGTTCCAGACTATCGTCAGGCGCTTGACATGATACTCGATCTGGAGCCGGGTAAGGACTTTCCCAAATGTACTTTATGCTTATTTACTGTCCAGATGGAGGAGACGATTTGGCGAATACCTTTCCTCTAAGAACCATAAACGACTCTGACTTTTGTTCGCCAATCATTAGTTGCGTTGCGCGTAAATGCATGAGCGTATTTTGCGTCACACATACACCGCTTGTTTTCACTCTTCCTTGCACTCTACTTCAAATTCAGAAGACTGCTTCACAAGTCGGGAAGCTCCGCGGATTTGCGATGCCCCTTTCCCTTATTACTACAACATTCACTCTTAATTTGCTTGCAATTTGGCAGTGATGGTGAGGTTAAAAGACCCATCAGCTATTACGAGTAAAAAACGAGAGCGACACGACTGTTTTTGGGTTTGGAAAGCAGCCCCATTCATGCCTAAGAGTGCAATAAACGTAATTCAACTCCACAAGTGATGTAGGAAGGCTGCCGTCAGATACCCAGATGTTCTTGAATTAAAGGAGCCCTTGCTTACACTTGCAATTTTTCCTCTTGTCTCGTTCGCGCACGCACCGATTGGCAAGGTTACGCGAGATTAGGCCTTCTCTCACCCCAAAGTTAACCTTATCTTCCGGTTCACTACACTGCCTCTCAAAAAGCCCTTACGAAACTGCCCCCTTGGCTGATTGTGTGGTTGATGTTTAGGCTCTGCGCTTGATTTAGCGAATACGCAGGGGAATTGATCATCTGGGACGGAATCTGGGATCGGCATCATGTTTGGAGAGAGCTACTCTGTAGACGACTAGGCAGCTGTCACTTGTCTGTCAGAATATGTCGATTTATCCAGCTCTGCCTATTATCATGTTTGGTTCGTGCTACACCCTACATGGTCGCATTGAATTTTACAAACCACTTCAAAAACCACATGATCCAAACATTGCGGCAGTTTTGCAGGGTGATTGCTCATCTGGTAGTGTCTTCTGACTCGCGCCTCGTCTTACACCTGCCGCTCAAACGTTAGGCACCGCACCACACCGCACCTGACTGCATACGCAATCAGCTAGCCTTACAGCCTGCTCGGCTGCATTTTATTCTGGGTCTCATTAGCACATGTCCTTCGCCAGATATCTGATCTATTGATATCGGTCCAGAGCCTAACGTGAGGTTTGCTGGCGTTGGTGACCACCGAGTTAAAGTATTAGGTGGTACCGGAAAGTAATGCAAATTGTTTAGTAAATAGCAGGAAGTGTTGACCCGAAAGCGTTTTATTTTTCTAAAATTAGTTATATGATCATTGTCGTTATCAGTCAGTGT